ATCAGAAGGGAGATACCCAGCAGAATATACACATCAGAAGGGAGATACCCAGCAAAATATATACATCATAAGGGAGATACCCAGCAGAATATACACATCAGAAGGGAGATACCCAGCAGAATATACACATCAGAAGGGAGATATCCAGCAGAATATACACATCAGAAGGGAGATACCCAGCAGAATATACACCTCAGAAGGGAGATATCCAGCAGAATATACACATCAGAAGGGAGATACCCAGCAGAATATATACATCATAAGGGAGATACCCAGCAGAATATACACATCAGAAGGGAGATGCCCAGCAGAATATACACATCAGAAGGGAGATACCCAGCAGAATATATACATCATAAGGGAGATACCCAGCAGAATATACACATCAGAAGGGAGATGCCCAGCAGAATATACACATCAGAAGGGAGATGCCCAGCAGAATATACACATCAGAAGGGAGATGCCCAGCAGAATATACACATCAGAAGGGAGATACCCAGCAGAATATACACATCAGAAGGGAGATACCCAGCAGAATATATACATCATAAGGGAGATACCCAGCAGAATATACACATCAGAAGGGAGATACCCAGCAGAATATACACAATGTGTGTCATAAATACGGATCTGAGGAGACCCACTGATCATCATATATTGAGGCTACCAACAATGTATCCCTTAAATATCTTGTACCATATTATTATGTAATAAAATATAACTATTGGTAAAAAAGAATGAAAAGATGGGGTGGTAGGGGAAGCGGAATATTTAAATGGCTTCAGGAAGAAATCGAAATATTCTCCCTTGAAGTCTTTTTATCCACTTCTCCGAGGTTATGGGTCCCACAATTTACACCAGAAGTGGACCTTAAAAAATATAATGAACATTGAAATATTTCTGGGGGGAATATTAATAATATAAATAAAATAATGTAAATGGATAATCATCAAAATGCATATTTTAGCTGTTTCTTTTCCACAAGTTTTCCCAATCAATCAGCATTAACAAATGAAATCAAAGATAATATATATTTAATTCGATTACTGTTTTTTTTTTTCTGGGAGTAAGTGGGTATATACGCCGAGATGTATTCTTGACTAGTCACAGGATACACATCGATAGTGCAGTTCTCCTTACACATATATACTGGAAGTTTACTTTAATGCCTATTTTAGGGACTGAGGTATTATTGTCTGGTAGTGCAAAAGTTATGGGACCTTAGTGTAGTTGACAGGCTTTAACCTCCATCCAGCAACCTTGACTGGTGGTGGACAGGTGACATGCAGCCTCAGCGATCATCATGTGTTTGATAGGCTTCAAGCAACATGAACCACTTCAGCGCTCTGTACATTATCTGAAGAATATGTCACTGTTGTATACATGGCTTGCCTGCAAGCAGGGTAAAAGACACTAGTTTTTGCTTACTTCTTTATTAACACCTCTATCTCTCTCTCTCTCTCTCTTAATTGAGCTTTATCAAATCAGTACTAGGAATATGTTGTTTTGATATTCTTTACAGAAAAAATCTCCTCACGCCGGATTTATTCATATGATGACTTTCCACTGGTTCCCTTGAGTCTCGTTTGCACATATAGTTAATCATGATAAGACATAGTGTATGTAGTAGTACCCTTGATAATGAGATTTATATTTTAAGTGATGATTGCTAAGGAAGAGGTCAAGGCTTTCTTCATCGCTGGCCTGTCGTTACTAAGATGGGTTAAACATACCGTCTAATTTTTATAATAATTGTCTAAAATTAACAAATTATCCACCAATACGTTAATGAGGTATACCTGTAGGGTGTTTCAGGTGTCAACGCCCCCGCGGCCCGGTCCATGACCAGGCTTCGCGGTGGATCAGGACCTGATCAACCTGTTACTCCTGGTTGCACGCAAAACGACGTACAAATTACAGCCCGGCTGATCAGGTACTGACTTTAGGTGCCTGTCCAGCTCCCTCTTGAAGGCAGGAGTCTATTGGTAGTCCCCCTTATGTATGCTGAGAGGCAGTTGAACAGTCTTGGGCCCCTGGCACTTACTGTGTTGTATTTTAGAGTACTCAGGTGGAGGGTATTTTACTTGAATTACCGTAAGTGTCCCTAAGTCATTTACTCTTAGGAACACAAAGCTAACGGCAGTTTTAGTTAGGTCCTTGTTGGGTGGTGGAGTGAAGGGGCAATTTTCTGATGGAAGGGTCGCTTGGCATTCCAGCAGGTAATGGATGAGTAACTGTCTGACATACTGTTGCCAGTGTTCACACTGTTTTCGTCTGACTTCTCAGCTATCATCCATGCGGTAGAGTACCCTTAACGCAGCCGATAATAGGTTATACGTTGAGCTTCAGTTGCCAGGTGAGACCTTGAAGAGTCGGGAGTGTCCTTTGTTTGCCTTGCAAAGTTTTCAACTGTTTGATCTGATGCAGACTTACTGATATATGAATCAGAATTTAGGGATTACTTATGGCCAGTCTCGCGGCTTGATTTGCAGCCTCATTTCCTTGGATATCAACATGGCTTGGTATCCAATTACGTGTGGCTCTTTCTTTTCACCTGAGCAACTATTGTCTATAAGATATTTAAAATAGAAGTAATGAATTTAAGTCTGTTTTAGGCCCAGCGGATTCCCCTGGGCCTCTCCCTCTCTGAGATTTGCTGGTGCCACCGCACTACCATACTCTGAAAACTTATCCTATTTCTCCTGTTGTTGTCCTTGCAACATTGCACAACTCCTGATGATGCACTGAGAAGTGTGAAAGTACTCTTGCATTGTTAAAATCGCCTGTCTGCAATTGTATATATATATATATATATATATATATATATATATATATATATATATATATATATATATATATATATATATATATATGTTTGTCAAAATGGTTTAGTGTATTTACCACATACACAAGATGTATGATCCTTTGGGTTTAGCGTTTAGTTTTGATTATAATAACACACACACATGGATCAGAGAATATCTAACAGGAAGGAAACAACGAGTGATGGTACGTGACGAGGGGTAAGAGCGGACGCTTGTGATGAGCGGGGTTCCCCAAGCGTCAGTCCTAGGGCCGATGCTGTTTTTGATGGATGGGATAGATTGAGAGGTGTCCCTGTTTGCAGACGTTGTGAAGCTTATCCAGAGAATTCGGGTGGATGAGGATCAGGTAGAACTACAAAGGAGTCTGGACAGGCTGGAAATCTGGTCTAAAAACTGGCTCCTAGAGTTTAACCCTACCAAGTGCAAAGTCACGAATATTAGGAAAGGTCAAATAAGACCGCAGAGTACAGGCTAGGGGGCCATAGACTGCAAACCTCACTCAAGAAAAAGGATCTTGAAGGGCGAGTATAATACCGAGCACATCTGAAGCGTACATCAACCAAATAACTGCAGCATATGGGGCGCCTGGCAAACCTAAGAATAGCGTTCCGACACCTGAGTAAAGAAGCATTCCAGACTCTGCACACCTTGTACGTCAGCCCCACACTGGAGTACGCAGCACCATTATGGAACCCACACCTGGTCAAGCACATCAAGAAATTAGAGAAAGTGTAATGGTTTGCAAGAAGTCCTGGAGCTATTATGTCCTACAAGGAGAAGTTAAGGGAAATCACCCTGACGACGCTAGACAGGAGGGATAGGGAGGACATGATAATGACATATAAAATACTGAGAGGAATTGACATGCTGGATAGGGACTAGATGTTTCAGAGGTGGGACACGGCAACAAGGGGTCACGACTGGAAGTTGAAAATTCAGATGAGCCACAGGGATGTTAGGAAGTATTTCTTCAGTCGTAGAATTGTCAGGAAGGAACAGTCTGGAGAGTGATGTAGTAGAGGCAAGATTCATACATAGCTTGAAGAAGAGGTACGATAAAGCTCATGGAGCAAGGAGAGAGTGGACCTAGTAGAGACCAGCGAAGAGTCTGAGCCAGGAGCTGTGAATCGACCCCTGCAACCAAATATGTGAGTACCCACACACACACACATACACACAATCTGTATGACCCTTGTGGATTTAACGCTTAACTTTCATTAAACACACACAGGAGCTGTGAATCAACTCCTGCAACCACATATAGGTGAGTACACACACACTTACACCTTTCATAGAGTCACTCACGACTATGCCTAGTTACACAATGTTTACATATGATGTCAGAGGTCGTGGGCGCCTCTTGGCGCTGTATATAAATAAGCGACTCTTGGGGCATCTTCACAGTCAGCTCCACCACGCCACAGCGGTAACCTGCCTCGTCAGGATCCTCCTCCCAGAATAACCGAGTAAGCTTGAGTATAAAGAACACTCACAAACACTGAAGAGTCAACACGGGAGGTACATTCACGCTCTTGGAGACTGTTGGAAACACGTTGTTGTCTATCCAAATTACAAACAAAAAATGCTTAAAATTTTGTTTCAAAAACACTCAATGATTCTTTCAAGATACGGCTTCGGTAATTGCAAATCTTAAATACACTTATTCCTGAAAAGCTTTTTTTTTTTTTTCATAACTTAAAACATGACTGTAGTTGTAATTCAGAGTATCTTTCATTGACTTGGTTCCTAATTAAGAATGATTAATATTGTGAATTATGACTTGGAAATCAGACGAGAATTACGGACCATACTAAAACAAAGTGACCGATTGAGTAGGTGGTGAGACCACTTGTGCTGTGTTGACCAACTAGGGTCAGCACTAGTTGTGGTCCGCCATAGCAACAACGACCACCTGTTAGTCCTACGAGAAAGTGCTGCAAGTTACCTTCCCAGACCAACAGTGTTGCACCTTGGAAATAAATGGTATAAAATACCGACACAATGGAAATATAAACACATATGCAGTTTAATGTGATCCTTTATTGACAACGTTTCGCCCACATAGTGGGCTTTTTCAAATCACAAACAGATGTTTGACTTGAAAAAGCCCACTATGTGGGCGAAACGTTGTCAATAAAGGATCACATTAAACTGCATATGTGTTTATATTTCCAGTGTTGCACCTTCACAGACCAACAATGCTGTACCTTCCTAGACCAGCAGTGCTGCACCTTCACAGACCAACAGTGCCGTACCTTTCCAGACCTACAGTGTAGTACTCTCCCAGACCAACAGTGCCATACGTTCCCAGACCAACAGTACTATACCTTCCCAGACCAACAGTGTTAACTCACGAGGATCTGTGCCAAAGTGACGTGAGGAGTTGCCTTTTCTACCCGCAGCAGGTAAAATAGCCACTTAAATGACCTTATAACCTGCTCCTCCCTGAGCATCCTCCAGCCAGACTGGACACACAGGGATGCACCTTTTGTGCTACTGTCTTTTTTTTTTTAGCAATTTTGCTTTTAAATTCGCATGCTTCTGCCAGCGTTGTGACGTATGTTCCTCCTTTAGTTTCAACGCAGTCTTCGGTTTACCCTTAATGAAGTTTTCAGGTCACCGTTTTAATCTACTTTTTTTTAACACAAGAGAGAAGGAACACTGCAGCAGGCCTACTGGCCCATACTAGGCGGGTCTTTCTCGAACCCAAACCCACTAACAAAGATATTTGCCAACCCATTATGAATCACAAAATCATTATTATATTTTATTGATCATGTATTTCTGGTAACCCATTATTTTGCAGATGATTATGATTATTGCATTCATATGGAGCGCTAAATCTGCATGGATCATATAGCGTCTAAAGGAATGTTAAACTTCGATTCAGGGGAAGTCAGGTCCAATCCCCTTGATCAAGAGCCCCTTACCGAAGTCGGGAGATTTCTTGGGGAAAAAGAATATTTTGCCAGACTCAACAGCATATTTTAAATATACTCATAGAAATGCACTAAACATGTGTCATTCATATTTATTTTGCGCTTGGTCATTTTTGTTTTGGTATGAGGGAGTTACAGTGCTCTCTACATTACCATTAACATTATCATGAACGGCATCTGATCCTTTTCACTATTCTTTCACATTTATTTATTTATTTAATGTCTTTGCAAACAGTACATTGAGATTGTGTATATACAATAGTGGGTTGCAATGCAAAGAGAGTCTCTATTATGCCTAGGCATTATGGGCCAGTTGCCCTATATCTTCACAATCCTGCAGACAAGTCATGTACGTCTACACGTACGTGGCCCGGTGGCCTGGTGGCTAAAGCTCCCGCTTCACACACGGAGGGCCCGGGTTCGATTCCCGGCGGGTGGAAACATTCGACACGTTTCCTTACACCTGTTGTCCTGTTCACCTAGCAGCAAATAGGTACCTGGGTGTTAGTCGACTGGTGTGGGTCGCATCCTGGGGGACAAGATTAAGGACCCCAATGGAAATAAGTTAGACAGTCCTCGATGACGCACTGACTTTCTTGGGTTATCCTGGGTGGCTAACCCTCCGGGGTTAAAAATCCGAACGAAATCTTATCTTAATGTACTGATTCTTTACTTCTTTACAGTCCTTAAGGCAGTAGCTGAAGCAGTTTCTTTGTGTGTTTAGAATTCTACGCATTTAATATATTGTCCTAATCTGATTTAACAGTTTCTTTACACCTTCAGAAGAGCCATATTTTCATCTCTAGCGACATGAAGATTGTGATTTTCCTCGCCCTGGCCTCCGTCACTGCCGCCCGCATGGCCTACCAACTACCTGATGGTTTTCTCGAGATCTTGGGTGGCCCTCCCAACCAGGTGTTCTCCTGTGAGAACCGCCCCTATGGCTACTATGCCGATGTGGCCAATGACTGCAGAATCTTTCACATCTGTCATCCTGTGGTGGATGAGCTTACAGGCAGGGTGGGTCATCAGTGCTGCCACTTGAATAACAGTTACAATAGAAACATTCTATATTGCTTTACATTATTGTATAAGCGTGAGACAAATGCCCTTATCAGTATATACCCCTGAGAATTGATTCCCAGGTTGCTCGTGTAACCATTCAGTTTAGTTGAATGATTCCTGTGCAGGAACTATTCAATTACATTGAAAGGGAGTGCATATATTTGGGGTTAGTAATGTGGGGGATAGGTAGAAGTCCAAGAGGAGAGTTTAATTTGCTATAATAAAGCATTTCCAGTTATTTAAATATGAGAGACATGCATAATAGAAAACAAAAATTACACCTTGTTCTTTTCAGATTCTTCAACAAGCTCATTTCTCGTTCATCTGCGGGAACCAGACAGTCTTCAGCCAGGAGTCCCTCACCTGTGCCCACCCTGAAGACGCCTTTCCTTGTGAGCAAGCAGAATCTCTCTACGACATCTCCAACGCTGACTTCGGCAAGATACCCGAGCCCACGGATAACATCTAGTGTAATCTCTTATACCATATTCTCCAAAAAAGCACAAAGCCCTCTAGTATAATCTAGTGTGCTGCTGGTATCTGTTGTAGGTCATTCTTTGTTTTGGGGTGATATAGTAAGTTTATACAAAAATTTTGAGGGATATTTTTTGATGTATGAAATGCTATCTTTATTGTATTCCACACTTTCTACTTTCTTGTATATGTGCACTTCTACTCTATTATCAACTCATTAAGACTTTACAGGCACAAAATGTTCTCTTACACTTCATTTACTTTGAAAAGTTTCTTTTGTTTGTGACTATGTTCCCACCTCTCTGCTGTGCAGAAAGGTAGTCTGCACAGGTGTGCAGCCACACCTGTGCCTGGTGTCCTAGGGGCCAGGCTGGGCCTGCTGCCCTCTCTCTATATGTCTTGTCTAATGTGTTTGTACATGTATTATGTCACACATCAATAAATATACACATCCTGTGGTGTATTGTCATTGCTGATCTTAGCTCCCTTAATTTCTAGCTTTGCCAGAGCAATAAGAATCTGTGCTATTTTATTATTTAGATTTAATGCTTTGTTTTACGTTGCTGCATCGACAAAATATACAACAATTGGAAAGCCTGTAGGATGTACAGAATTTTGGGAAACTAACTCAAAACCCGCATTTAACAGAAAATATAAAATGAAAAGCATGGCTTAGGACAGTATAAATGTTAGTGTCTGTTGCCTATAGATAGTATTACCACATTGCCATTACATTCCTAGCACTAAACATATGGAGGTCATACCCAGCTGTATTGTGAATGGAAAAGGCCTGGGAGAAAGCATGTTAGGCAACTTGTGTTGCTAGTTGTCTTGAAAGAGCAAGTGATGAAAGACATGCATAATGATGTAGGCCAACAAGTGGTTGAACAAATGACACAGCTAATCAAATACAGGTGGTACTTGCAGTGTATACACAAAGATGTAATGGAACATTGCAGGCTCTGATGTCAGTGTACTGTAGCAAGAGGCAGTGGTTCCAGAATTATTATTACTATACAGCGCTATACAGCGCCTGGTGGAATGGGAGGCATTCAGTTTCGATCCAGTGGTGCCAGAAATGTGGACCCAGATGAAGGCACTGTCTGCATGTCACCTTTTTGAGATACTAACCTTGGATTCTTCCTTACTGGAACCATGACATAACGGCAGGAAGAATACAGATGCACTGGCCACACTAGTAGTGAATGAGATATTTAACAGGTATGACAATCCTGGGAGGGTTCACACTAATCAAGGTTCCCAGTGTCAAAGTGCACTGATTAAGAACCTATGCAGTGCATGAGAAAACTGGTGAAACCTACACAAACCCGTATCACCCTACCGGGAATGGACAGTGAGAGTGATTTCCCTGTAACATGTATCAGTGCTACAAACCCTACCAACCAAGCATGAAAGCCAGTGAACAAAACATTTAGGGTCAATATGACTATAACTATATCTATCTCTCACTCTTAACTCCATTTGCTTCTCCCTTACTACCTGGTTTAAATTAAAAGAGCTGAGATTTTCTCTGGATCTGTTATTAGATAGGGCAGAAGGACACGAGGTACCTTGCAATGACTGGGTAGCAGCCCAATGTGATGCTCTGCACATTGCATGGACTGTAGCAAGCCAACATTTTAGGAAGAAGCAATGCCTGTAAGTCAAGGTTTAAGAAGATTAGGGAATAAATGTTTAAGGTAGGGCAGTAGATGCTTGTCAAGAACCTTCATGCAAAGGGAGGTTGTGAGAAACAAGACAATAAGGCATTTATCATCCACAAACTAAATAAAGAATGAGGTTTTTACAGGATTTCAGAAGATGGAGAGGCCAAAGTTGCCTACAGAGTGAACCTTAGGTTAGCACCTGGGGACAAATTATTATTATTTTTTTTTTTTTTTTCAACAAGTCGGCCGTTTCCCACCGAGGCAGGGTGACCCAAAAAAAAAAGAAAGAAAATCCCCAAAAAGAAAATACTTTCATCATCATTCAACACTTTCACCACACTCGCACATTATCACTGTTTTTGCAGAGGTGCTCAGAATACAACAGTCCAGAAGCATACACATATAAAGACACACAACATATCCCTCCAAACTGCCAATATCCCAAACCCCTCCTTTAAAGTGCAGGCATTGTACTTCCCATTTCCAGGACTCGAGTCCGACTATATGAAAATAACCGGTTTCCCTGAATCCCTTCACTAAATATTACCCTGCTCACACTCCAACAGATCGTCAGGTCCCAAGTACCATTCGTCTCCATTCACTCCTATCTAACACGCTCACGCACGCTTGCTGGAAGTCCAAGCCCTTCCCCACAAAACCTCCTTTACCCCTCTCTCCAACCCTTTCGAGGACGACCCCTACCCCGCCTTCCTTCCCCTATAGATTTATATACTTTCCATGTCATTCTACTTTGATCCATTCTCTCTAAATGACCAAACCACCTCAACAACCCCTCTTCTGCCCTCTGACTAATACTTTTATTAACTCCACACCTTCTCCTAATTTCCACACTCCGAATTTTCTGCATAATATTTACACCACACATTGCCCTTAAACAGGACATCTCCACTGCCTCCAACCGTCTCCTCGCTGCTGCATTTACCACCCAAGCTTCACACCCATATAAGAGTGTTGGTACTACTATACTTTCATACATTCCCTTCTTTGCCTCCATTATTATTATTATAATATTATTATTATAATATTATTATTATAATCAAAAAGAAAAGCTAAGCCACAAGGGCTATACAGCACCTGGGGACAAAGAAAACCAGTATGGAGATGATGTAACTGACCCAGAGTTGCCATGCAGTGAGAAGAGGGATGGAAGTGACAATGAATTTATATACAACTTGGATGGACCAAGGCTGCAGAATAAGGGAATTAACGGGTGTAGGTAGATACTGAAAAATTGTCCTATCTAACATTTAAGGCTATTAAGCTTAATGAAGCCAAGTATCTTACTGATGTGCTTGTACCTTTTACATCAGGCTTAGAAAAGATTCTGCAAATTGCTGCCCTTTTAGACAGACTGATCCTTGTCCTGTTGGGGATGAGCAAGGAGGTTTTAGAGTGGATAGGGGATGTGTAGATCAAGTGTTTACATTGAAGCATATATGTGAACAGTATTTAGATAAAGGTAGGGAAGTTTTTATTGCATTTATGGATTTAGAAAAGGCATATGATAGAGTGGATAGAGGAGCAATGTGGCAGATGTTGCAAGTATATGGAATAGGTGGTAAGTTATTAAATACTGTAAAGAGTTTTTATGAGGATAGTGAGGCTCAGGTTAGGGTGTGTAGAAGAGAGGGAGACTACTTCCCGGTAAAAGTAGGTCTTAGACAGGGATGTGTAATGTCACCATGGTTGTTTAATATATTTATAGATGGGGTTGTAAAGGAAGTAAATGCCAGGGTGTTCGGGAGAGGGGTAGGATTAAATTTCGGGGAATCAAATTCAAAATGGGAATTGACACAGTTACTTTTTGCTGATGATACTGTGCTTATGGGAGATTCTAAAGAAAAATTGCAAAGGTTAGTGGACGAGTTTGGGAATGTGTGTAAAGGTAGAAAGTTGAAAGTGAACATAGAAAAGAGTAAGGTGATGAGGGTGTCAAATGACTTAGATAAAGAAAAATTGGATATCAAATTGGGGAGGAGTATGGAAGAAGTGAATGTTTTCAGATACTTGGGAGTTGACGTGTCGGCGGATGGATTTATGAAGGATGAGGTTAATCATAGAATTGATGAGGGAAAAAAGGTCAGTGGTGAGTTGAGGTATATGTGGAGTCAAAAAACGTTATCTATGGAGGCAAAGAAGGGAATGTATGAAAGTATAGTAGTACCAACACTCTTATATGGGTGTGAAGCTTGGGTGGTAAATGCAGCAGCGAGGAGACGGTTGGAGGCAGTGGAGATGTCCTGTTTAAGGGCAATGTGTGGTGTAAATATTATGCAGAAAATTCGGAGTGTGGAAATTAGGAGAAGGTGTGGAGTTAATAAAAGTATTAGTCAGAGGGCAGAAGAGGGGTTGTGAGGTGGTTTGGTCATTTAGAGAGAATGGATCAAAGTAGAATGACATGGAAAGCATATAAATCTATAGGGGAAGGAAGGCGGGGTAGGGGTCGTCCTCGAAAGGGTTGGAGAGAGGGGGTAAAGGAGGTTTTGTGGGCAAGGGGCTTGGACTTCCAGCAAGCGTGCGTGAGCATGTTAGATAGGAGTGAATGGAGACGAATGGTACTTGGGACCTGACGATCTGTTGGAGTGTGAGCAGGGTAATATTTAGTGAAGGGATTCAGGGAAACCGGTTATTTTCATATAGAGGCTAGGACCTTGGGTAGCTTTAAGAAGAGACTGGACAAATATATGAGTGGGAGGGGCTGGGTTTGATTGGTGTTAAGGGGTACGGGAGTTATTTCTTGAGTAGCTTTAGGTAGATGTCGTTTTGATAAGGACCTGCCTCGTATGGGCCAGTAGGCCTTCTGCAGTGTTCCTACATTCTTATGTTCTTATGTTATGTTCTTATATAGTTGGACTTGAGTCCTGGAAATGGGAAGTACAATGCCTGCACTTTAAAGGAGGGGTTTGGGATATTGGCAGTTTGGAGGGATATGTTGTGTATCTTTATATGTGTATGCTTCTAGACTGTTGTATCCTGAGCACCTCTGCAAAAACAGTGATAATGTGCGAGTGTGGTGAAAGTGTTGAATGATGATGAAAGTATTTTCTTTTTGGGGATTTTCTTTCTTTTTTTGGGTCACCCTGCCTCGGTGGGAGACGGCCGACTTGTTGAAAAAAAAAAAAAAAAAAAAAAACTTCTAAACTGTTGTATTCTGGACACCTCTGCAAAAAGTGATTATGTGTGAATGAGGTGAAAGTGTTGAATGATGATGAAAGTATTTTCTTTTTGGGGATTATCTTTCTCTTTGGGTCACCCTGCCTCGGTGGGAGACGGCCGACTTGTTGAAAAAAAAATTTTCATCATTGTTGTTGCATTTATGGCTCAGTACATAAGTTTGTGGATTTCTTGAAAGAACAGGCTGACTAGAATAACAAAATCCAAAGTTATATTATTGCTCTTATTCTTCTTCTCAACTTCCAAGAGAAGGCTGCAATTCAATGCACAGCAGAGGTAAACTAATTTACTACCAGAAATACTAACTAAAAAAATCACAAAAAGGTTAAGAATTAAAATAAAAAAAATTAGATTTTTATTTAGTGCTGACATCTAGGAACAACCATCACTAAAAAATGCTTCAATAAAAAATGTGTATCAAAAATGTGCCTTAAAAAATGTATGCATAGCAAAAATTTTTAATCTTGGCTCAATACAAAACACATTACAAAAAAAATAAAAATGGCAACTAATTCTAAACTTCAAAAGCAAATTTGTAACTATACACCTGAATTTTTAATTCTGTACAGTTAATTCAAATAAATAAAAAAATGATCTGGATAATGAATTGTACAACTTACCATACTAAAAACTATATATGGACTCTACAAATTTATTATTTTATTATCACAGCGGCCGATTCCCACCAAGGCAGGGTGGCCCGAAAAAGAAAAACTTTCACCATCATTCACTCCATCACTGTCTTGCCAGAAGGGTGCTTTACACTACAGTTTTTAAACTGCAACATTAACACCCCTCCTTCAGAGTGCAGGCACTGTACTTCCCATCTCCAGGACTCAAGTCCGGCCTGCCGGTTTCCCTGAATCCCTTCATAAATGTTACTTTGCTCACACTCCAACAGCACGTCAAGTATCAAAAACCATTTGTCTCCATTCACTCCTATCAAACACGCTCACGCATGCCTGCTGGAAGTCCAAGCCCCTCGCACACAAAACCTCCTTTACCCCCTCCCTCCAACCCTTCCTAGGCCGACCCCTACCCCGCCTTCCTTCCACTACAGACTGATACACTCTTGAAGTCATTCTGTTTCGCTCCATTCTCTCTACATGTCCGAACCACCTCAACAACCCTTCCTCAGCCCTCTGAACAACAGTTTTGGTAATCCCACACCTCCTCCTAACTTCCAAACTACGAATTCTCTGCATTATATTCACACCACACATTGCCCTCAGACATGACATCTCCACTGCCTCCAGCCTCCTCCTCGCTGCAACATTCATCACCCACGCTTCACACCCATATAAGAGCGTTGGTAAAACTATACTCTCATACATTCCCCTCTTTGCCTCCAAGGACAAAGTTCTTTGTCTCCACAGACTCCTAAGTGCACCACTCACTCTTTTTCCCTCATCAATTCTATGATTCACCTCATCTTTCATAGACCCATCCGCTGACACGTCCACTCCCAAATATCTGAATATGTTCACCTCCTCCATACTCTCTCCCTCCAATCTGATATTCAATCTTTCATCACCTAATCTTTTTGTTATCCTCATAACCTTACTCTTTCCTGTATTCACCTTTAATTTTCTTCTTTTGCACACCCTACCAAATTCATCCACCAATCTCTGCAACTTCTCTTCAGAATCTCCCAAGAGCACAGTGTCATCAGCAAAGAGCAGCTGTGACAACTCCCACTTTGTGTGTGATTCTTTATCTTTTAACTCCACGCCTCTTGCCAAGACCCTCGCATTTACTTCTCTTACAACCCCATCTATAAATATATTAAACAACCACGGTGACATCACACATCCTTGTCTAAGGCCTACTTTTACTGGGAAAAAATTTCCCTCTTTCCTACATACTCTAATTTGAGCCTCACTATCCTCGTAAAAACTCTTCACTGCTTTCAGTAACCTACCTCCTACACCATACACTTGCAACATCTGCCACATTGCCCCCCTATCCACCCTGTCATACGCCTTTTCCAAATCCATAAATGCCACAAAGACCTCTTTAGCCTTATCTAAATACTGTTCACTTATATGTTTCACTGTAAACACCTGGTCCACACACCCCCTACCTTTCCTAAAGCCTCCTTGTTCATCTGCTATCCTATTCTCCGTCTTACTCTTAATTCTTTCAATTATAACTCTACCATACACTTTACCAGGTACACTCAACAGACTTATCCCCCTATAATTTTTGCACTCTCTTTTATCCCCTTTGCCTTTATACAAAGGAACTATGCATGCTCTCTGCCAATCCCTAGGTACCTTACCCTCTTCCATACATTTATTAAATAATTGCACCAACCACTCCACAAATATATATAGATATATATAAAAAAAAAGCTACCTGAAGATTGCCCCCTACCCATATTTTTGACAAATTATAATTTGTACAAGATCAGTTTCATCTACAAAGCATACAAAAAAAAATGTAATGTATTTTTATGTTCAACTCTTAGGAATGTTGTGCTAGAGTTTTGCTGCAGGCTGGAGTTCAGGAATAACGAGTCATATAGATATCTTCTTGTGCAAATTTTCAGCAAGCTTATCCATAAACTCGAATGTATTGAGGTAATCACTGCGAGTCACACTGAAAAGGATGGAAAAATTTATCATATTTACACAGTGTCTATTCCTCTAAGCAGAATGAGAACTATTTAAAGAAATGGGTAAGCTCAATGGAATATCGAGTTTGAAGTAATGGCTAAGAAAAATAAGAAATTTAGTTTGTTGTTAATCAGGACTGGCAATTGAAAACTTTTAAACAGTCAACTAGCCTATTCAGACCACACACAAATCTAAAATCTTCTATGTATATATACAGAGTTATATAGGTTGTAATCCTAATCTAATCTAATCTAATCAGGAGTGTTCATAGCACCTCAGTTCACATAACCCAATTTCAATGACATCTCTTAACTCATATCACTTGACCACCTGCCTCAATCACATGATCTGTTGGGATATTGAGTAATAGCAAAAATTTGTGTAACCAAAGGATTTTCATTTTTATAATTACAATTACAGTAATATATTTATATTATCAGCACTCTGGAAACTTTAAAACAAAATATACTTTCTACTTACCTGGCCATTCCCTTGATGCAAATGGCCAAATCCTTGGTCATGGACCCTGATTCAATAGTATCCACACACACTTGCTCCAGAGATGTTGCATATCTAGCCAAGGGTTCATTATCATCGAGCTTTGCACGGTGGGCCAAACCACGAGTCCAAGCAAAGATTGAAGCTGTTGAGAAAAGTATTTTTATTGGTCAGGTTAAATAAAATAGGAAAACTTAATCTTTCAGGATTCAAAATACCTCACTTCACATTACACAGGTTTCACACTGTTTACTGGTGTTAGCTGGTCTAAAAAAAAAGTACAATTCTGACTACTAATTTAAGAAACACCTGGGGTAACGATTATGATCTATGAGTATGTACTGTATATATTTGTACAGTCAATTTCCAACAGGATGAAAACAAAATCTGCATTATAAAGAAACAAAAATGGAACCCAATGACAGATTTTTTTAATTGTCCTTCAACACATTAGTTGCATACAGTATTTTATATATCAAATTATATATGTGCAGTATGTATTTTAAGTTGAGTCCAGGATGTCAACACAATCAAAAAGGGTAAAAAAAAAATTTCTTAGGTTGTCATCTTACAAAAAAATCAATGTGTGTGTTCATGTTATAATATACAGGGTATCGTATATAATACTCTATTCATACATATTTTAGTCAGGATAAGATGGTGGAAAATATTTCAAAATGGCTTTGAACAGTTTATCACAACTGCACAAGTAAAATCATGTGAGTAACATCACTTTCAAAACACTTAGATCTCTTCGACACCCTTGCCTCATCTCCAGTATCAAGTACTGTACTAAAAAATACGAAGAAACCTTTATGCTAGTTAAAGTTGGTGATTTTGAATAATAATTATAAGCATCAACACCATGTCTTTGCATATAATAACAGTGATTAAAATAGAGTACTACTGTACAGGTATTAAAATTCATACAATTCTTATGGAATCTATCTTATTCACTTATTCCTATACACAAGGCCAATTAATTTGTAAATAAAGTCCCAATATTTTAGATAGTAGTAGTCAGATATAATGTTGGTCTATCTGGTGCCTAGAATTTGAATTATTATAACTAAATAATGAATTAAAAATCAAAAGATGGCAATTAGAAGCCTTAGATCCACTAACATTATTTTATATTATGTAGCCAAGTGTGCTCTTGTTAACCCCCTTTCAGGGTCATATACCTAGGACTTTGTGTATCCATGTCTTCACATTACTGTCCAGAGAATATATACTTGTATAGGGTTTGCAATAAGGTAATCATTTCTGTTATGAACATAGCCTGTATGTCAATGGGTTATGGAGCTCATAACAAACGAATGGGATTATTACATCTAGGGGTCATCATACACCATACATCTTTCTTGTTTCTATTTTATTAATAACTTTAATAACCACTTAAATCATTTAATCCTTACAACCGACTTTCTCATATATTAAATACTATGAGTATAACATTTATCACCCACCTCATTATCACATCACTGTAATAAGTCAAGTATGTATTTACAAAGGGCTCTAGGCAGTTTCAGGACCCATCCTCAATGAGTCAAAAAAATATAGGTGTATGTACAGACAGGCATTTTTAAAAGCTCAAACACCACACTGATAGTGCTCCTCCATAGAGTTCATTCTGCAATAATTCCTTTTTCAGAACAGAGTCCATAAAAGGGATGACACTGAGGCTCGCTCACTTATTCTTACTTTCCTTAAGAGTTTCTCAACTGCCCTCTCTGACCAAGATAAGCCCTTGCAATAAAATTCCTGGTAACTTCTAGGGAGGTGAAGGGTGGTTTAAAGCTGGATACTTCCCTAGACCCTTCCTGGACCAGTGGAAGGTATGATCTGAATAAGGTAAGGCTTTATCAGCCAACCCTGACTCGGTCAGAGCAGGGGTTGAGTAGCTCAACTCGCCTACTGGTGCTTAGCCAGGCCGCACCAACAGTTTAGAATAATTCAACAACCTACCTATGTACAGAGCTAAATAATTTACAGCCAGATAATATTACAAAGTTGAGTAAATCCCTTTTAGCTACTAATGAAAATGCTCCTGAATACAATATTAAGTGAAAAAGCCAAAATAACATGTAAAAATATATCATTGCCAAAATAACAAGTAGAGATTTCCTCCTTAAAATGAACAAAGGGTGTAACAATTTCAGAGGCAAAATAAAAAAAATCTGTACTATCAGTAATAATGAAATCATATCAAGATGCAGTAAGCCTAAAGTATGACCTGTGTAGGCATTTAGAAAGCATACCAAATTAAAAAAAAATACATAAAACTCAAATATAAAAATGCTGGCTCTTAAAAAGAATACATTAGTTCTTAAGAAAAAATAACTCCAACACTTCAGCTATAATTAAGATGAATCACAAGTGGAACCAACTCTATAAATTGTGTGAATTACTTTTAACAGGAAATGACTCCATAAAATTTGCAACTCTCAAAGTTGATAAACTTACCAATGGGATTGGTAGACGTCTCCTTGCCTTGCTGGTGTTGACGGTAATGACGTGTGACTGTGCCATGGGCAGCCTCTGACTCCAGGGTCTTGCCATCAGGGCACACCAGGACGGAGGTCATCATACCTAAGGAGCCTAACGGGAAACAACACTTATTGTTTGTGGCCTTCATTTACACTACATAATCTAGAACATTTTCCCACAGCATCTGAATTTAACACAAAATGCCTCCAACCTTAAAATTTTAATCCAATTTTGTTGTGGATTTTATTTCACTCCCTTAAAAATGAGTCATGTGAAGGAATAAGCCATCCCAAATATGGTACAGTAGTACTTGGTAACAACACTTGTATTGATGTCAATTATATTGATACCTTCAAAAGTGTAATGAAAGTTACAATATCTCAACCAGTTTGATAAATGTTTCAATCCATATTTGCATACATTTTGAAGTGGTATAACATATACAAAAGCAATTTCCAAAAATGTGACAAAAACTATAAATGGAGGCTTACCAAATCCTTGAGCCACAGAATCTGACTGGACATCCCCGTCATAGTTTTTGCAGGCCCACACAAAGCCCCCTTCACTTTTCATAGCTTGTGCAACCATATCATCAATGAGTCTATGTTCATACCAGATTTCTGCAGCCTCAAATTTGGCCTTGTATTCGCTGAAATTAGGTTCACTTATGATAAGACATTTCCTACTGAATTTAGACTTATGATAAGACATTTCCTGTTAAATTTATACCAATCTAATAAAGTACTAGAAGACTGGTAAGATTGGAGATGAAAGATCTGGATAGGATATGGAATTTCTATTTTAGATAAAATTAGTTTTCAAGAGTAGATAGGTTGATGGGTGATGAAAATGTGGCCCATAAACAATGGATTTAGAATTTAGAATCTAATGTGTGTTAAGTTGCTTTCAAGAACAATGGACATGTTTAAGTATCTCTATGTTTACAATCAATGCCAAATGGAAAGGATAAGATGTGAGAATCAAATGGTAGGGCTCATTTGCAATGCATACTGAAAGACAGATTACAATATAAAATGGTAAGGGAGATATGGTGGAAATCACCCTTTGAAAATCAGTACTGAATGACCCTTTTGGTTTTAGTGCTTAAGTTTATTATAAAAACAACCCTCTGGAAATACATTCAGAAACAAGCTAACTAAAGCAGAGAAAGTGGAGCCACCACTGTGCACATTAATAATAATGAGAGATAGGAAATGATCAAAGCAGGAAAGTGAATCATCAGAGAAAAAGGGGCAGACTTGTACCATAGAAATTTCCCACTACAAAGGCCTGAATGTGCAGACTGCTGGGAGGTAATGATAGCAAGGAAAGGCAACAATGGAAACTGCTGTACATGCTATCATCTATGAGAATTCAATTGGTCATAAAATCATGAAGAACATGGAAACCCAGGGATCCCACAAACAAGGGACATTATGACTGAATACAGGCTATGGACTGGATAACATGAGCTCCCAGACAAATGTAATCATTAATTATTAATAACTGGCCCAGACAGAACACCAATCCTTGCAGAGGTAAACTAATTTGAAAGATCAATTGGATTTTGTTCTGCAAACCACAAGAACTTACTTATCATATATCTCCTGGAAAATATCCTTGAAGCGGCCATCGTATTTCTTGAGAATAGTGTTTTTAGTAGACAAATACAAGGGTAACTTGCGATCCAGTGCATACACCATTGATGCATGGGCAAATCCTCTGCAAGAGTATGGTAGTCCCAAATTAAATGTAAAATAAATACATACTAATAATTTATACAGTATAATTAATCTTCCAATAATTTGCACCAATCATATTGTATCTTATTGATTTTTAAGCAGCAATATCATGAGGTAATATAAGCAGTATAAATATTGTGCATTAGAATAATATCAAATTAACACAAGTAATCTCAAAATCTTACCAAACATTGCAAGCACTTACGTAATTGACTCATCAGTGTTGAACATTCCCAAGGCAATTCCAGCACCCTCAAAGTTGTGGATGACATGTTGAACGGAATCATTACCATCTGAGGAAATCCACTTGATCTCTAACTTTCCAGCACCAGGTACCACAAAGTCAACAGCTTTGTACTGTGGAAGGTGTAAAGCTGCTGAACAACTTGAAACCACATTTCCTTACAAAATACAGTGTGCAATACTCTAAATTCAAAGTTTATTTAGTACTCTAGGGAAATGTGCCTGAATACCAGGGATACAGTGTATATACGGTACATGAAGGTGTGATTATTATAATGCAATACCCCTGGCTGCCTTCAAGAGAGAGCTGGACAGATACCTAAAGTCAGTGCCGGATCAGCCGGGCTGTGGCTAGTACGTTGGACTGCGTGCAGCCAGCAGTAACAGCCTGGTTGATCAGGCCCTGATCCACCGGGAGGCCTGGTTATGGACCGGGCTGCGGGGGCGTTGATCCCCGGAATAACCTCCAGGTAAACTCCAGGTAATACAGTATTTATGGACCAATAAAATGAAGATAGCTATGATCCAGGTGTATACAACATTAACACATTTCTGTTATGTGATGTAAAATTTTTAAGGGAATGAATCAAAAAACTAGTAGGTCTTTTTCAAATAGCCAAAGGATACATTGGAGTCACCATATTACTAAAATCCCATTTCATAAAGGAAAAATTTACCCATATCTCCTGAAAATGCAAAACTTTCCTTCCTTCCTTCACCCATTAAGATAAATAAGATGATTAAAATACTGAAACTCCTAAATTCATAACCACATCCAAAACTGATCTACTGTTGCATGTGAGACCTGATTTTTACTTTTTGCATGTGCTTGATTTTCCTCTTCAATGGATGGTTGCCTGGAAAGTGCATGATAAGAATTCAATAAATTAATTATTCTTACCTGGTCAGCATGAGCATGACGGCCGATAATAATTGGTTTCTGCCATCCTGGGACAAGACGAGGTATATTCTGGCATATAATAGCTTCTCTGAACACTGTGCCACCAAGGATATTACGTATAGTGCCATTAGGTGACTTCCACATCTTCTTTAAATTGAACTCTGAAAGAACACACTTAAGAAATTATTTAACATACATGTTATGAATCCATCGAAGAAAATCATTCAATAATAATAATACTATACAGTATCAGTAAAACATTTTGAAATTCTTTTTTGTCTGTCTGTAACACAGTAGCATCCTCCACTGCATCATCCATCATTTAATGCTAACATGTTTCAGAGAAACAGGCCTTACAGGAACTACATGGTACTATAGTTATATACAGCAATTACTACATAAAATAAACGAAATGCAAGAAAACAAAAGGATGTTCTCACAGGGCATATAAAACAGGTGGCAAACATGTTAATGATTCCTTATAAGAGAGGAGCAAGGGATATAATCAATACCTTCCACCCTCTTTTCATCAGGTGTAATTGTGGCACACTTGACGCCTACGCTGTATTTCTTGATGGCATGTGCACAGTCAATCGTGACCTGGTCGTTAGTGGCATCACGGTTTTCAATACCCAGATCGTAAGTATGAAGTTCAATATCCAAGAAAGGTAGGATAAGCTTTTGCTTGATTATGTCCCAGATGATACGGGTCATCTCATCACCAAGCACCTCCACCACTGGGCCACCTGAGCATACATCAAATATAAGCGAGTTGATAAACCATTCAAACTTGCATTGTATACCATTATTAATAAAATATTAAAGAAAGATATCTGAAAATATTTTTTTCCATTCCTTTCTTCCAAATCTTATGACCTTAGATAATAAAATACTGTATTAATATAGTACAGTACATATAAATTGGTTCTTATTACTAATATTATATTTACAAGGAAGCGCCAAACCCATAAGATTATACAACATTTGAGAACCGAGAGATAATCAGGTATGATCCAAGGAATGGGAGAGTAGCTCCAATTCCTTGAATCAAGGAGTCCTTTAGCAATATCAAAGTAAACATTCAAAGGGTTCAAATGCCATTAAATTTAATTTTACTTGGAAAGAAAACTGATGAGATGGAGGTGAACCAATATTTTTTGGGAATGAATGCACTATTTATTAGCCTCACAAACTGTAAATAATGAACTGTGCAATACAGTAAGCTTCATTCAGCTTCATGTAAATAATGACTGCATACACAATTTAGTAAATTACACAGATTTAACTCAAGATAAAACACACACACACACACACACAAATGCAACTTTCCATTAGGGTAAATATACTGTACCACTAAACAGACTTCTTACATACATAATATGCTTGTGTATGTAACAATACTATAAAATACCGTACTTACTCCATTACAGGCAAGCCCCGCTTTACAGCATTTTTGCTAATACAGCAGTTTTCAATTATACCCATTCTTCATTTATTCTAACTTCCTACAGTAAATATATTCACCACTCACTATAAGCTAAGGATGAAAACATTTTAAGGTAAGTAATGTGTGTGTAATGTATATGGATTTTTTAAGCCTAGTTATATTGCTCACTTAATATATGACAGTGTAGATATGTTATCAGGCTTTTATATGCATTTTCAAGTGAAAAAAGGCTACAAGTTACTTTACGGCAATTTTTCGTTTTACAGCGTTAGCCCAGAACCTAACCTGCTGCATAACCAGGGCCCTCCTGCAATTGTTTTATGCGATGGTAGAATTACCGGTCTTTTTTTTTTTCTGTTTCATAAACATGCTACTTCTACTTACACTTAGTTCATACTACACATCCATATACATGTACATATATGCATGCACACCCATCTGAGTTTTCTTCTATTTTCTTAATAGTTCTTGTTTTTTATTTCCTTTCATCTTCATGGGTAAGTGGAAAAGAATCCTTCCTCCGTAAGCCATACATGTTGTAAATGTTGAGTAAAATGCTGAGAGCAAGGGGCTAGTAACCACTTCTGTATAAATTACTACATGTTAAAAGAAAAACTTTCATGGGAGGGTAACCTAAGAAGAAAAATTTTCACTTTTCTTTCTCGGTCACCCTGCCTCAGTGGCAGACAGCCAGTGAGTTGAAAAAAAAGAATTTAACAATACTGAATTTAATGTAAAATAATATATAAAATGATAGCTCCTTTAACTTTACATACAAAATTTACAAAGCATAGGCAGTAATTCTGGTTAATGTATAGTAACTAATCTATAATAAAGAAGTCAAATAAAAGATCCAGTATGCTTGATAGCCACAGGGCTTTTAGTCAAGAGTCTAAGAATTTTAAATAATCATGACTATTGTCAAGATAAGTCCCAGAATCACCTACCAGATAACTCCTGGACTTTGGTCCAGTGCAGTGTTGTCAATAGTTTATTCTAAGTCTGGTGATGTAAAGGTAATGTAACATTACAGATAGTTCCTGAATCTTGGCCCAATGTAGTTTTGGGCATGCTATCAATAGCCTTTTACAAGTCCAGTGACATCATGGTAGCACTTGAAATGTGTCAAATTTGATGCCGCCATTCATTAAGAATTCACTGAACACTAAACTGTTCCGTGATTGCTGGATTTCATTTTGCTCATTCTGTTATCATTAAAGGTTCTATCTTCCATTAATATATGGGCTTTATCAGGCATTTTTCTTAAGTAAAAGAATACCTTGCATTTCTACCAATTTCATTAGATCTGAATGCAAGTAATTAAGATGGACCTTGATATATTGCATATAAGTGCTGGAGAGGAAGATTATACACCACAAGATTATACAAGAGCAGAAGACCTCGGTCACATTACCAAAATCTCCAGTGTAATGAATGGTTTTGAAAACTGACAAGTTGAAGATTGAGACACTTATGCAACATATGGGAATCTTTATTGAGGAAATGTTTTGCCACACAGTGGCTTCATCAGTCCAATACAAAGAAGAAAGGTGTAAGGAGAGGAGAGTTTTGAGGTAATCAGTCCCTCAGCCTGGAGTCGATGTTCTCAGTCTATCAATCTTGTAGAATGTACAGCATAGGGCCGTGGACGTGGCTTATATACTGTAGTCAGGTGAGGCGAAGCAGGAGGAGGTGGGGTCACAGTGGTACCATCCACTAGTCGAAGTAGGTCTTCGTCCAAAGGTTGGACAAGTTTTGAAGAATTCTTTGTATCAAGATCCCATGATGATGCAGTGTCTGACAGTTGTAATGAATGGTTTTGAAAACCAACAAGTTGAAGATTGAGACACTTATGCAGCATATGGGAATCTTTATTGAGGAAACATTTTGCCACACAGTGGCTTCACAAGTCCACGTCTATGGCCCTATGCTGTACATTCTACAAGATTGATGGAATGAGCACATCGACTTCAGGCTGAGGGACTGATTACCTCAAAACTCTCCTCTCCTTACACCTTTCTTGTTTGTATTGGACTGATGAAGCCACTGTGTGGCAAAACGTTTCCTCAATAAAGATTCTCATATGTTGCATAAGTGTCTCAATCTTCAAAATCTCCAGTGGCAAATCATATGAGTAAGACTCACGTCAATAAACACTTGTCCTATTTCTTGAAGAATCTTACCTAACCAAACCTTACCAGTGAATCATGGTGTCCCTAGCCAAGAGCAAAACTTTCTTTATTTTGATTTATTTATTATTTCGACATGATACATAGTTGTACAAAGAAATATAGTGATTGGGTGTACATGCCAAAAGCTCCTTGTATGCAGAGCATTATGGGCAGGCTTAAAATTAACCTAAGATTAACTAAGCAATGATATATTCAGTGATAAGAATTACAGTAAACAAATTACATGTACAACATGAAGTACAAATGAGTATTTCAAATAAGAATCATTAAAGTTGTACAAATCTGTAGCATAACAACGTATAATATAATCGAATCAAATCGAGTAAAATCAATGATTTGTAGTGCAGAAACAGGTCATATGGTCATTAGAGTTACTGTGCATTCAAGAGAATGGAGTATTCTATTAGGCAATGTAGTTAAAAAAAAAATAGTTTGATAGGGTCACAGGTTTCACATTTATGAGATACAGTTATTCAGTATTTATTTAGTTGTGATCACCCATTTAATCAATGACCAAAGAAGTTCAGCCAAAGTAACACACACAATCATCCATAGTGCCACACCTCTTATCAGACAGTGACTGCCCTATTGCTCTTATCTCTATATAACCCAAGACAATGCTTGTGAACTTTGTCCAAAAGGTATCAAGAGCGTTCAAGGGTTACTAAGACTATATGGTTGCCATGTAAATAACCTTAACAAATTGTTCATTACATGGCTACTGGGCAGAGACATGTTTTGCATTATCTTTAGTAAAAGTATTTGTTGAGCATAAAGCCAGCAAATGTCTAAAGATTAAAAAAAAAAATGACCACAAAAGAAGCATATCTATTATATAGCACAACTGTATTTAGCTTTGCTGGGTAATCTTTGATTAAATTTTCACAATTATCACAACCGCTGGTAAACATATGGTAGTTAGTTCTTGCTCATCAAATTTATCAAACTGAGAGAAAAAAAAAGGTTTATAGTAACATGTGCTTAATGTAAATCGAACATATGTAAATTTGACCTGAAAAAACTTACCAATTCCCCCATCTAAATGTTTCCTGATAGAGGCCTGAGCCTAATAGTTTAAAATACAAAGTCCTACATTTATATTATTAGCTGCAAAAATGCAACCCATTTGATTCCCGATATCAGCATTCATACTTAATATATTCTTTGTCAAAGTTACGTAACGTTAATACATTTAGCAAGTTACGTAACGTTAATACAAACAAGCAATACCTCCAGAAAACTTCAGTGTCAAATACTACTATGGTTGGAACAATTCAAAAGATATCTCGGTATTTTTTTTACTGCGAAGAGACTACGCCCAAATAGAAGCCTTCAAAGTGAGCCAAAGCACATCTCCAACTACACATTACACGAACTATTTAAAGAAATCTCGTACTTACACGCAATTTTCCCCATGTTTCACAGCACCTCTGCCACACACAGCTGACAGTCTCAGAGTACACAGCTGAGTGTCGTGTCGTCTGTCACTGAATTATCGCATGAAAAGTAGAAAACTAACGTACTTTTCATGGCACTTGTCGTACATAAACCATTTAGCTAAAAAATCTAAGTAACTCGTTGTATTTCAGTCCTATCATAGAATGTCTCACGAAACGTACAGTCGTTGGATGTTAAGAAGTGGATCCCCAAATTCGCCGGATTAGATTAGTTATTTCGGGTCGTCGATGCTAGTCAACTTCATTCATTTTTTTTATTTTTGTTGTGTACAGTATACAAACTATAGTTTACATGTAATAAAGTTTTGCTAAGCACAATAACAGAAAGTAGCATGTATGAGCCCTACAGTGATTGGCAGCTGAGTTTACCTGGAGAGAGTTCCGGGGGTCAACGCCCCCGCGGCCCGGTCTGTGACCAGGCCTCCTGGTGGATCAGAGCCTGATCAATCAGTCTGTTGCTGCTGGCTGCACGCAAACCAACGTACGAGCCACAGCCCGGCTGGTCAGGAACCGACTTTAGGTGCTTGTCCAGTGCCAGCTTGAAGACTGCCAGGGGTCTGTTGGTAATCCCCCTTATGTATGCTGGGAGGCAGTTGAACAGTCTCGGGCCCCTGACACTTATTGTATGGTCTCTTAACGTGCTAGTGACACCCCTGCTTTTCATTGGGGGGATGTTGCATCGTCTGCCAAATCTTTTGCTTTCGTAGTGAGTGATTTTCGTGTGCAAGTTCGGTACTAGTCCCTCTAGGATTTTCCAGGTGTATATAATCATGTATCTCTTCCGCCTGCGTTCCAGGGAATACAGGTTTAGGAACCTCAAGCGCTCCCAGTAATTGAGGTGTTTTATCTCCGTTATGCGCTCCGTGAAGGTTCTCTGTACATTTTCTAGGTCAGCAATTTCACCTGCCTTGAAAGGTGCTGTTAGTGTGCAGCAATATTCCAGCCTAGATAGAACAAGTGACCTGAAGAGTGTCATCATGGGCTTGGTCTCCCTAGTTTTGAAGGTTCTCATTATCCATCCTGTCATTTTTCTAGCAGATGCGATTGATACAATGTTATGGTCCTTGAAGGTGAGATCCTCCGACATGATCACTCCAGGTCTTTGACGTTGGTGTTTCGCTCTATTTTGTGGCCAGAATTTGTTTTGTACTCTGATGAAGATTTAATTTCCTCGTGTTTACCATATCTGAGTAATTGAAATTTCTCATCGTTGAACTTCATATTGTTTTCTGCAGCCCACTGAAAGATTTGGTTGATGTCCGCCTGGACCCTTGCAGTGTCTGCAATGGAAGACACTGTCATGCAGATTCGGGTGTCATCTGCAAAGGAAGACACGGTGCTGTGGCTGACATCCTTGTCTATGTCGGATATGAGGATGAGGAACACGATGGGAGCGAGTACTGTGCCTTGTGGAACAGAGCTTTTCACCGTAGCTGCCTCGGACTTTACTCTGTTGACTACTACTCTTTGTGTTCTGTTTGTGAGGAAATTATAGATCCATCGACCGACTTTTCCTGTTATTCCTTTAGCACGCATTTTGTGCGCTATTACGCCATGGTCACACTTGTCGAAGGCTTTTGCAAAGTCTGTATATATTACATCTGCATTCTTTTTGTCTTCTAGTGCATTTAGGACCTTGTCGTAGTGATCCAATAGTTGAGACAGACAGGAGCGACCTGTTCTAAACCCATGTTGCCCTGGGTTGTGTAACTGATGGGTTTCTAGATGGGTGGTGATCTTGCTTCTTAGGACCCTTTCAAAGAATTTTATGATATGGGATGTTAGTGCTATCGGTCTGTAGTTCTTTGCTGTTGCTTTACTGCCCCCTTTGTGGAGTGGGGCTATGTCTGTTGTTTTTAGTAACTGTGGGACGACCCCCGTGTCCATGCTCCCTCTCCATAGGATGGAAAAGGCTCGTGATAGGGGCTTCTTGCAGTTCTTGATGAACACGGAGTTCCATGAGTCTGGCCCTGGGGCAGAGTGCATGGGCATGTCATTTATCGCCTGTTCGAAGTCATTTGGCGTCAGGATAACATCGGATAGGCTTGTGTTAACCAAATTTTGTGGCTTTCTCATAAAAAATTCATTTTGATCTTCGACTCTCAGTCTGGTTAGCGGCTTGCTAAAAACTGAGTCATATTGGGACTTGAGTAGCTCATTTCCTTGCTGTCATCTATGTAGGACCCATCTTGTTTAAGTAGGGGCCCAATACTGGACGTTGTTCTCGACTTTGATTTGGCATAGGAGAAGAAATACTTCGGGTTTCTTTCGATTTCATTTATGGCTTTTAGTTCTTCCCGCGATTCCTGATTCCTATAAGATTCCTTTAGCTTAAGTTCGATGCTTGCTGTTTCTCTGACCAGTGTCTCCCTACGCATTTCAGATATATTGACCTCTTTTAGCCGCTCTGTTATTCTTTTCCGTCGCCTGTAAAGGGAGCGCCTGTCTCTTTCTATTTTACATCTACTCCTCCTTTTTCTTAGAGGAATAAGCCTTGTGCATACATCGAGTGCCACCAAGTTAATCTGTTCTAGGCATAAGTTGGGGTCTGTGTTGCTTAGTATATCTTCCCAGCTTATATCGGTTAGGACTTGGTTTACTTGGTCCCACTTTATGTTTTTGTTATTGAAGTTGAATTTGGTGAATGCTCCCTCGTGACTAGTCTCATTATGTCGGTCTGGGGCTCCACGCATACATGTCTGAACCTCAATTATGTTGTGATCTGAGTATATTGTTTTTGATATGGTGACATTTCTTATCAGATCATCATTGTTAGTGAAGATGAGGTCTAGTGTATTCTCCAGTCTAGTAGGCTCTATTATTTGCTGGTTTAAATTGAATTTTGTGCAGAGATTTAAAAGCTCGTGTGTGAGTTTTCATCGGAGCTACCTCCTGGTGTTATTACTGCAACAATATTATTTGTTATATTCCTCCATTTTAGGTGCCTTAAGTTGAAATCCCCCAGGAGCAAGAAGTTGGGTGCAGGAGCTGGAAGATTTTCCAGACAGTGGTCAATTTTTAACAGCTGTTCCTGGAATTGCTGGGATGTTGCATCCGGAGGTTTGAGGGGTGATTTTTTTTTTCTCAGTAGTCGATGTTATTGGGTTGACATATATTGCATATATAAATGGTCTCCAAGAAAGAATCCCATTCTTATTTTTTTTTGTCTCAATTCAGGTAGGTTTCTATACAACTCTTGGTGATGGGTCCTGCGAGATCCACATGCGGACTCTTAGATTACATAGTTAGAGGCATTAATTAAAGATGATGCCAATGTACCAATAACCAAGGTAAAAGAATCAGAACCAGTGAATCACACTATAGGATCTAGGTGTGTTATAAGAGGATCAACACGAATCATACTTCACTATTTATCTTACTACCCTTGCACAATACTATACAATTATGTTCGTTTTTGCTAGGGCTGTCTATATAACACCATTATATATATATATTTTAACTTATGTACGGGACCTAAATATATACTTACGGATGACCCCTCAAGAACTGTTATATAATACATGTTCATTTCAACATGATATACTCTTTATATAGAAATGTGTAACATTTCAGTATATTCTGCAAGCCCAGAGGTACGTCGAGTATGTCGGATACTATGCTCTTCTCTAAAGATATAATAATAATAATAATTCAACTAATACCGTACTGATTATAAATTCTAGTTCTTGAGAAACTTTAGATAAGATAGTCCGGAGAGAAAGGAATATTTTTTTCCCCTTTTATACTTTCTGCCAGTTTTAGCATGCCTAATCTTCCCATCATATCCTAGCTGCATATACCTTTGCATACATGTATAATTTTTTTTCTATAATTTAAACTTCTGTTTATGCAGAACACCACGAGTACTGCATTGTTAGAGCAGAGTACCATGATGAACAGCAGTAATATTATAGCAGAGTACAATGATGAAAGGTTGGAGGGAGAGGGTAAAGGAGGTTTTGTGTGCTAGGGGCTTAGACTTCCAGCAAGCGTGCGTGATTATTATTATTATAATCAAGGGGAAAGCGCTAAACCCGGAGGATTATACAGCGCCTGGGGGGGGGGATGTGGAAGGCATTCAGGCTTAATTCGGGGAACTGGAGCACAGATCCAATTCCCTAAATCAAGAGCCCCTCACCAACATCAAGGAACCTTCCTTGAGGGGAAGCGTGCGTGAGTGTGTTAGATAGGAGCGAATGGAAACAAATGGTTTTCAGGACTTGATGTGCTGTTGGAGTGTGAGCAAGGTAACATTTATGAAGGGATTCGGGGAAACTGGCAGGCCGGATTTGAGTCCTGGAGATGGGAAGTACAGTGTCTGCACTCTGAAGGAGGGGTGTTAATGTTGCAGTGTTATAACTGTAGTATGAGCACGCCTCTGACAAGACAGTGATGGAGTGAATGATGGTGAAAGTTTTTCTTTTTCGGGCCACCCTGCCTTGGTGGGAAACGGCCGATGGGTTGATAAAAAATAAACCATGATGAACAGGAGTAATGTTGGAGTAGGGGGCTATTGTTTAATTTTTAAATATAATTAAAATAAAACACTGCTGTTGCCAATGCTCACTTAGAAGTAAGCTTAATTAGGCATAGATCACATAAATGCAATTATCATAGTGTAAATTATCTAGAATAATCCAAAGAAGTCAAAGTGACTGACTGATTGGCTTACTGATACTGGAAGTTAGTCTAATGTCGCGAGTGGCATCCTGGGGCTGGACGAATACCTTAGGTAAGTTTGAGCTTTTGAATCGAGCCGAGGAAGGATAGCTGTTCCTAAGCTTGTAAATTCAAGGGTTAAGAAAAAAAGATTGGCTTTGAGGGCCGTGGTACCGTTGTAGCAACTTCTGTCAGGAATGTCTGGTAAGACGTAGTACGATGTTTATGTAACACAATACTTACAGTTACACTGCCTAGTATAACCATTATGGCAGTATCGTGACTGATTGAGTGTCCCGGTCTTTTAAACTGTCCCCTCGGCACAAAATCTAAAGCAAAATGTATGCGAAATCAGTATTATCTGACACCAGGGGATCGTGTGTATGTGGTAATCATCGTACACGATCATACCACCATGGCCAGGAAGTGATATTCAACTG